GGGGGGTACTGTTTTACTCTGGAGACTTCGCTCAACACAAATATTAGTGTTTCAAAATGATAAATTGTATTACAACTTTGATATTTTCAGTGAAAGTTAAGTTTTTTGTATTTTTCACACACAAACGGCACTTTTACTGACGATATTATTGTTGTAATATGTTTTACTGTTTTGAAACACTTATGTTTATGTTTAGTGATGTCTCCCAAGTATAACAGTACCCTCCCATGTATAGGTTTTATAGTGTTTTGGAAAGTTAGAGAGTCAAATGTAAGGCTTGCGTTTCATTTATTTCACATTTAAATTTGCCAGTTTGGTAATGTTGCCTTTGGGACCGTATGGTAGCCCAGGAATGATAATTATACCCATGATGGCATACCATTTGGAAAAGTAGACAACCCAAGGTACTGCAAATGGGGTATGTCCAGTCATTTTAGCAGCCACTTAGTCACAAACACTTTTGCAAATGGTATGCCATCATGGGTGTAATTCTCATTCCTGGGCTACCACACAGTCTCAAATGTAACATTACTAATCAGGCAAATTTTAACGTGAAAAAAATGAAATATGTAATGTGCTATATTTGACCATGTAACTTTCCAAAACAACGTAAAATCTGTTAATGGGGGGTACTGTTTTACACGTGAGACTTTGCTGAATACAAATATGTGTATTTTATGGCAGTAAAAGCTAACAGTATTATGACAGCTAAAATGTCAGGTGGAACTACAATTAAAAAAGAAAAATCTTAATTTCTCAGGTTTTTTTTTTAATTGTATTCATAATAATTTATGTTTCATATATGAATAGTTCATGAGAAATTAAAACCCTGTTTTTTCTAAACAAAACTATATATACACTGTATATAAGCCGTGGGCACCTAATTTTACCACAAAAAACTGGGGGGGAAAAGTGTGTGTATATAGTGAATGTAGTGTGTGTGTGTGTGTGTGTGTGTGTAGTGTGTATAAAATGAATGCAGAATGTGTGTGTATATAATGCAGAGTGTGTGTTTTT